GGTACATCTAGGGATCACTCCTATAGTACGCATCACCAGGACGTCAGTCAAATCTGCTCCTGGCTACCCAACCGTGATGACGACACGTGTTGTCCGTTGGACCGTCAGCGTTATTAGGCTTCGGGCTGTCAGTGGTCGCAGCCACGAGTGCAATCGCAACCACAGCCCCCTGTGGTTTGCTGGTTGTCGTGGTTCCTTTGCTGACTTGGCCGGTTGCCTGGTTGATCGCATTGCTGGCATGATGGTGGTGGGGGTGGTTGCCACCTTGGCTTCACCGCCACTGCTGTGCCAGACGATGGGCCGGGCGAGTGCTGAGCGGTTGTCTCTTCTCGACTCCTCACCACAGTCCAAACCTTTCATCAATGTCGTCCTGTCAGTCCGTTAATCGTCCCTCACAGACCCACAGTCTGCACTACACTCCTCGCGTCCATCTCGCACACGCACGCCTGGTAGCGCATAGTTGGCTATTAGGGGTCACTAATTGGAGAAAGCATCGACATATCTACAAATGGCACTTGAAGTTTTGCACGTGGTTTGTTGTGCTCATGCTTCGCCTTCTCTGCCTTGCCTTTACTGCACAGCCAACGCTGCATCAGTAAAATGCGGGTATATATCAGTTGGCATCGCCGCCACATCACTCACTCATTAACCTCAACCATGTAGTGACGTGCGAGCAAGTAGCCACTGACAGGGATAACAAGGTGTGCAGCAGTAGCAGGAGCAGCAGCTGCTTTGACAGGCGGTGGCATGCAGTGAATTTCAGTTATAAGAGAGAGAGATTGCTGACAATGTAGCCGCAGTGACTCTGCCATCATGTTGTATGAATTTTAACGCAGAGGGTGGCTCTATCTTTTCGTCTTCTGGTCCTTCAATGTATGTCTCTGTGAATGATTTTGGCAAATTTCCTAATGAATTTTGGGCAATATTCCCCTATTAAAGTAAACAAGCTCTCGTTTTCACATTGCTGCTCTTTACATGCACTTTATTTATCCAAATACCATGATCACTTGCCTTTTACTACACCCTAACCATCAAGGATGCCTTGGGGCTTATTTTGCATAGGTGCTCACTCATTCGCGCAGTGGCAAGGAAAGAATTTAGGTGCGTACCACACTGGTGCAGAATTACATGGTCGACTTGCAGAGACTGATGAAGGCTCCATGGTAGCAAGCTTCTTAGTAATGGTAGTAGCAGCATTCCTTCTCCTCTCACTCATCTCTTCTGTTCCAACAAAAAGGCGGCGTCAACAGAGACGTCGGCGGCAGCAGAGCCGGCGAAATGTAGGCTAGAAGGCTTCAAATCAGCAGTATAGAAAGCTTTCGTCAAGAGAGCGGAAGCGTTTTGTATCTAAGAAGCCTTTGAAAACCTACAATGAGGCGTCGAATTGAGTTGGGCGGCTTTGTGGCAACCTAACACGAATTGCCGCTCCTTAATACTCCTTACGCATTCAATCATTCATTCATTTTATCGTATGTTTTACACTCATCGTAGCAAGATAAAAAAGCAGAAAAAATTGCGACAACATGTGCTATTGAGGCGAACTATGCATTAATAGCGAATCTGATGAGAAAGTGCCAAGTGTTGGTCATCATTAATTTGATGCAGCCTCATGTTCAAGGCCAATTTACATAACTGTGACTACCGAATATCTTCGCCATGTTTTGTGTGGTAGCAACAGCATCAGCACGAGCTAAGTACGAACTATTTGGCAGTAGTTTTCGAAGATGCGACTTCCAGAATTTATCGACCTAACGACTGTCTTCCAGGCTCTTCGCAGTATCATTGCACCCCAGTTTTGTAGGAATATTTTAGCATAATTCAGGTGTTGGATAGTCGGGGGAGTCTAAAGTGCAACAAAACTTCAGAAGTACATCCTACAATGCATTATAGCTGATGCTTGGTTTGATTATTTCTACTCTTACTAAGCGCAAAGGCAAGCAAACTGCCACATTCCAGAAGTTTCATACCTATTTTGTTAAAATAATGACATGAAGCAGTGTTTCCACAAGGGAATTGGGCTAAGCGGCGTTATAGTAATTTAGGAACGCCTATCTAGCTACTTTACCAGAATTCACGCTTATGCATACTCCTTACGCACTTA